TTTTTGTTGTGCATTACAACACTAGACGGACACAGGCTGACCTTATCCCTTCCGACATCTCAGGCTCTGGAGAGACAGTGTTATCATGGCAGGTTATGAATATTGACTATGTACTATAGATCGATACAGAGACCTTTCACATAGACCACAGCTATAATACAGCACAGATGAGGCCACTCCATCATTTTCTCTCAGGTCACTCAGGTAGAACGCGGAGACTTAGAGGCGTCTGCGCTCTGTTCTACTGGACATCCGGGTCTCATAAACGTCCTGGAGCTAACATTAGCCATATTTAGACATCTTTAATAAAACACAGAACAGGTTTAATTCCAAAACAGCAGCATATTTTCTGCCTGAAAGGCCTCTTTAGACAACGTTTTGATTCACATCCTGGTGTCTTTTTTGCTCCTTTCATTCTCTTGATTCCTTTTCCTGAGGCTGATGTTAAGAGGCTGCGCGGAAGAGATAGGAGTCTGGAGTTTGCTTAAGGGATTTTCTGTGTTTTAAATAGAGAGGTTAACTGGGGTTATGGCGGACCAGTGACGTTTTGAGGCAGAAAGCCCAGCTGTGTGCTTCTGATTAGGAAACAGTCTATATGTTGTGGATTTGAGGTTCTGTCAAGGGACCCGGTGTGTTTAGGAAGAGATGGTGTTAATAAAGTCAACATACGGTTAAAAACATTGTCATCCCAAGAGAGAGAGAGAGAGAGAGGGAGAGGTCAAAAAATGTGTGTTAAAGATAAGAGTTAATTTCACTAGATCCAATAAAAGCAGTGTAAATGCAACACAGAAATATCTGCTATGCAAGGCAATATATCTAATCCTATTGCAACAGCAATAAAAATGTGATGTTCACAATCCAGGCGTATACATTCTTAAAAATATCCCTCGTTCTCTTGTGTATTTTGAATCACTGTAGTCCAGAAGCCTGAAGTTACATAACTCTGAAGGAAAACCCTGCATCTCGACCTACTTAAAGACACTGTAAGAATCGGCTGGAACCTTTTTAATGTCGTCCCACTCTGCAGCTGAATGCATGCTGGATGTCTTATCACTAAATATTGATTAAATTAGGTAGAGCAGCTGTTTGATAATGAGATCTCAAATAATTACAAAGACTAATCCGCACCAGAGCATTACGGATTGATCCGTTTCTCTGCCTCGAAATGGAGAGAAGCGGGATTCTTGGACAGTGTGTCTTTGACAGGGACGATGGAAGCAAAAACCCAATGAACCCGAGTGATGTGCAACATCACAGAGCCGGCGCTGAAAAAAACATTCTCTCTTTGTTATTATATAACCACGCCAGAGGGACGGGAGTCTTTTCTCTCCTCTGTGATCTAAAAGAGACATCCAGTGCCCTCTAAAGCATTGCAGAAGAAGACATATTCAGAGACATTACAAAATAAACAATTCTGACAACGTTTTGTTCTTCCAGGGGTGTGCTGTGTAAGTGCCTGAGGAAGCACAAC